GACAGCAGCAGTGTCGCCGTGCCTGCCCCTTGTCTCTGCAGGGCTCTCAGACGGCAAACAGTGCTTGGCCAGAGGGCAGTGCACTGCCATTTCAGAGGGACGGTTCTGCACTGTACACCCTCAGGCCCACTTTGTGCTAAACTAGAACTCTGGGTGGCTGGAAAAGGTGCTTAATTCAGTGGGGATGCTTATTATGCAGAAAGAAAGTTGCTGTTTTCAACTGATGCTTGGATCAAGTTATTTGTGGCTGGGTTTGTGCAGAAGCTGCAGATATAGACAATGAGATGCTTGTTTTACTTCCTGAAAACACCCCTGGGGAAAACCTAGGAGAATAAATACTGTATGTTTCACTGTGACTCAGCTGCTGGGAGCTCCCGGGCAACGTCACAGTTCAGCAAGGTCCCAGTCATGTGAACAGGCTCTGGGTTGGCTCTTTCTTTGCGTAACTATTTTTACTTCTTGCCCAGAAAATGTTAATATTAATGTCTACCTTACGACTTTTTTTGAGACAGGCTTACTTTGTACTTCAGCCTGGCCTTGAACTTACTCTGTAGCCCAGGCTGGCCTGGAACTTGTGGCGATCCTCCTGCCTCAGCCTCCCCAGAGCTGGGATTTTAGGAATGCTCCACAAAGCCTGCTACCTTGTGTTTTTATGAAGGTCTTACTGCTCAGTATATGGCATGCCTAGCACATGCCAGACATTCACAAAAATGTCCTCAGTCAGCCACTTCTGGTTGTTCCAAGGTAGAACTGGTTATTCATAAGTCATCAATGGTGTTTCTTCTGCAGTTTCTAATATTGAACCTATAAATCTGATTTTTCAACCTGACTTTAGTTTTCTTAGAAAATGAAAAAGTTTATCTGCAGAATTAGAGGCCTTCTTTAAAACAGTGTCATTTTGGTACTTGCACTTCTGTGATCATCCGCAGTTCTGCTATAAATTTTGGTTTTAGACACCTCCAGCTGCCATAACATCTGGGAGGCTGGAAATGACAGAAGTTCATTTTCTCACGGTTCTGGAGACTGGAAGTCCAAGATCATAATGCCAGCAAGGGTTGGTTTCTGATGAGGCTCTGTCCTTTGTTTGCAGATAGTCATCTTCTCACTATGTCCTCACCCGGCCTTTCCTGGTGTGTGCCTGTCCCTGGTCTCTTCTTGCCATAGTCACCTTGAGGGTGAGGGCTTCCACACAGGAATTTTGGGGAGCACCTCTCAGACCCTGACACAGTTCCCGTTCCTTTGTCTGGCGTTGGCAGGGCTGCAGAAGGATAAGAAATACTGTTGCAGCACTGAATAAATTTGTATGCTTTTTGTCATCCTATCTCTGCTGTAGGTGGCAAAAGTCTCTCTTTCTTAACATTTGTCTGTGTGCAGTGCCAGACAGAAACATACTTACGAGAACAAGTGTAAGTAAGCAATGGCTTTACCAGCAGGCATGCAATCTACTTTCAATTCCATTTCATCTTCTTTTTTTTTTCAGCTATTTTCAGATGCATAACTTAATACAATTTGAAAAGCCCTGCTCTAGTGTAGGTTCCAAACCTATGCGTATGTGTGACATACATTGAATGACTTTCCTTTTAGTCCTGTGAGGTCGTGGATGTGCTGTTGGCTTGCCTTGATTTATGGTATTTGGGAAGCCTGTCATGAGATTTCCCTGAAGAGGAAATTATCGCTTGGAAAATTTCCCTGCCATTTGGCAGCGTTAGTAGGAAATGGACAGTAGGGTGGAAAAGTTTCATCACATTGATTGTCTCTGCTGGAAGAGGCCCATGGTCAGGTCTGACAGTTGGGAGCTGGGTGGGTTGTAATAAAATCTCACTGTGGTTCTGCTGTAGATTTAATGTATTTATTTTCTCTTCCAAGGTGTGGGCTTGGCTTTGTTATGGAATTATCTTTCCTTATCATAAGGCCCTTCCTGGTAGAAGAATTGTTATTAGAATAAAAATCTAAGTTTTGATGTCTTTCTCTCTCCTCTTAATTGTGATCTGCTATTGGGATGGAACTTGATTTTATCTACAGCTTTCAGCTGTAGCCTCTTTGTAGCAGTTAACAGCCGTGCTACTGCCTGCAGGGAGAGGCCTGCTCCCTCTAAATACAAGCACAGAGGAACTTAGCTCCAGCCCTAGCAGGTCCTGGGTCGAGGGCTATGCAAACCACAAACCGTACTTCAATATTCAAATGTTGCTGCTTATGGGAGACCCTGGGGTGGGGCGGGGTCCTGAGCGAGTTTGTTCACAGGTTTGCCCTCCATTGCATACACAACCTTGGGCAGGTATTTGAGCACCCTAAGGCTTGGTGGTCGAGCAGTGCCACAGTGCTGAGAACAGATGGGAGCTGCAGAGATGAGGCCCCTGCCCTCTCTTGCTCTTCCCATTCCTCCAACTTTGTTTGTTTTTGATAAATGAGGATTATAAGAGCACATAGCAGATGACTGAAGGTCAATAAGGATCTCCCTGTTCAGTTCATCCTTGTTTGATTGGTGCCCCATGCGTTGGTTTTATTGCAGAGATGATAAAGGACAATGACCTACAAAGAGAAGGTCTCAGAGTGCCCAGGGCGCAGGGCCGTGCCACCCCCAGGGCTTGGGCGCGATTATCTGCTTCCGTGGAGTCAGGATTTGGGCTGTGACCATGGCCGTCTTGGCAGTAAGACACTGTAGTTTAGGGTTGTTCTAGTGACTGACTCTCTGCTGCCATCTGGGCCCCTGTGGGGGGCAGGAAAGCTCCAGCAAAAGCAGGTGACCAGATGTCACCTAAGCTGCTTAGCCTGCCATGTGTCCTTGCCACTTCAGGAGCCAGGTTCAGGCCGAGCAAAGTTCAGAAGCCTGAAGAGAGTCATACTGTGGAGACTGGAATTGCTTGCCTTGGTTTTTTAGATATGGTTGACCCAATGCAGGGCACTCTGGCTCCGGGCAACATCCCCAGACCTTTGTATTTTTCATTTTGAGATGAAGCTTGCTAAGTCATCCAGGGGGGAACTCAAACTTGTAATCCTCCTGCCTCAGCTTCCTTAGTACTTAACTGGTCACTGTGCCTGGATTGATTTTGTTTTAAAAAAGCTTCCTTTGGCTGGGCATGGTGGTGCACAAGTGCAATCCCAGCGCTCCAGGAGGCAGAGGCAGGAGGATCGCAAGTTTGAGCCCAGCCTGGGTTACTTAGCAGAACTAATCTCAAAATAAAGAAGGGTTGGAGATGCATTTCAGTGTGAAGGCCCTGGGCTGGATCCCCAGTACTGCTCCCTTCCCCACAAAAGACAGAAGCTTTCCTGTCCTAAGAGATGTGAGGAGCGTGAAGGTCCAAGGAATTCTGGACACCACAGCAGCCTCCGAGATAGGAAGGAAGTAGAAAGCAAGAGGATCGTGATTGCTCACCCCAGAGTTTGCTCCTTGTGAGTCCAAGTGGCTATTTCTTGGGCTTATGGACCCTGAGGGAGCAAGACCAGAGAGGAAGACAGAGAACTGGGAGGGTCTCCCGTCACCTGTTCTTGGGGGAGGGGCCGGGGAGTCCTGACCTGTGAAGAGAGGTACTGGGCAGAGAGCACCATGGGGCCAGCCCTACCATGCTATGATAGTAATGACCGAGGACATTGCCGTGGACACTGCTGTGCCTAAAAACTGGAGGATAACAGGGCTTTAAGTGCTGTTGTCTTAACTCTGGTTTTTCTGTACAAAGTGTTCACTTACGTACTTCTTTTTTTCTTTCCCCACTTGTCCACTGAAAATAGCTACCCTAATATAGATGGTCTTCATCCTCAGGGACTCCACACCTGGTCACCTGGCACTTTCTTGCATGGGGTACAGGTTGAGTATCCTGTGTCCACAATATTTGCATATTCCTTATCCAAACTGTAAGTGTTTTAACCCAAAACATGTTATAGAATCTTTGCCTGTGTAATGTTTTGGGGATGGGACCCACCTCTAAAATATGAAACTCATTTATGAGTATATTTCACGTGCACCTCATCCATATAGCCTAAACTTAATTCTTTTTTTTTTTTTTTTTTTTTTTTTTGTATTGGGGAGAATGAGGATCTAGTTTAGGGTGACTGCTACGTGGACAGGTTATCCTGTGCCATTGTTTGCTTGGCCTTTCACTTCCCTGCTTGCTGGTTTAGCACTCAGCAAGTGGATGGGATGGATGGGATCTGCCCGATACACACTTGCCTTTTTCATATGCAGCCTGTGCTTGCTTCAGGCCAGTGGCTCTGCAGAGCGTCTGCTGAGTGCCAGGCCTGCCACTGGGACCTGGGCACGGTCCCTGTGTGAGGCGCCCATCGTTCAGTCATCCCGAGGGGCTGCATGAGAAGTAACACAGACGACTGAAATGACTAAGCACGTTGTTAATGGTGTTGCTTCGTGTCTCAGTGATGTGGTGAATTCCTTTTAGTTGCATTTGAAAGAAATTAACTTACTGTATACAATTTTAGTACTTTTGTGTGCTTTCAAATGTGTCCCTGGAGATGTATTCTAACAGGTTTCCAAGGGACAGTGCTGTCAGTGATTCGAAGTATCCATTTCCAAACCTGTGTTTCTCAGGCTGTTGCTTGTGGGGTTAATGATGCAGGGTACAAGTGACAGAATCCCACACAGCCAGCAGGGCCTGTGTGACTTTGGTCTGCAGTACCTCTCTGGAAAACTCTGTTATCACAGGAGACCCGAATCAAGACTGCTCAAGCCTGTCTGTTATTTGTGCCTTTTGTTTTGTTCTGCAACAGCTAATTACCAATGCTGTGCATTAGTGTGGTGGGCAGGCAGTCACAGAGCAGTCCCTGTCTTTGTCAGCTGCCCCGCCAGTGGCAGTGGGAGTGGTGTTGGCAAATCCCCTTGCTGCAGTGGAAGAGAACATGGGTCCAGGGGAGGGAGCTGCTTTCCTCCGACAAGTTATTGCCTTAGGTGTGACAACCCCGATGTTTGAATAATACAAACATGGGATAGGAATTACATTTGGAACCTATTTACTTTCGGTTTTTAATCTTTGCATCTTTCTGTTCTAATCCAGGTGCAACATTAGAGGAAATAAACCAGCACTGGGACTGGCTGGAGCAGAATCTCCTCCATACTTTGTCTGTCTTTGACAATAAAGATGACATTGCCAGCTTTGTCAAAGGAAAAGTAAAGGTGTGTCCCTTGGTTTTAATATTTCTTCGTATTTTCTAATTGCTTTCTATGACATCCTGGGCACTGCCGTGTAATAAACTTTCTCCCCTCTAGCTCTATTTTTTTTTTTTTTTTTTTTTTATGTGTGTGTGTTTGGTACCAGAGATTGAACCCAGGACCCTGCACTTGCCAGACAGGCATGGTGCCACTGAGCTACATCCCCAGCCCTCAAACTCCAATTTTAGCTGACTACATAAAGCCAAATGAGTTCAACTTGTCACTTGTCAAACTTTGCAGGGTCAAGTCCAGAAATCATGCCCGAAATTACAATAGGGAAGCTTTCACTCTTAGGCCCAGTTTCTGTTATCTTTTATAGAAATGCAGGCCCTTTGTTTGTCTTGGAGAAAAAAAAAATTATGTTGGGATATCTGTTTTTGCAGAACATCATACAACACATTGTTTGAGTCCTTAAATTAGTTATTCCCAATTTTTTATTTTGCAGCTGTGACATTTTGTCATCGTATTTTTGGACCTCACACTTTCCTCTTGCTAAGTGTGGGTGTTTACTTTTAAAATATGTTCACTAAATGGAATTAGAGGCAATGAAGTTTTGAGAAGGTAGAGAGGACTCTTTGGGGAAGTATTTGTTGGTACCTCCTGTGAGTGCTCATCTTACATAACCAGTCTCCTCACAGTAACAGGTTGGGTAATCAGTGCTTTGGACTGGGAGAGACAGTTTCTTACTCTAAATTTAACTCTCTCATTAGACACTCAAACTCATTAGCTTGAAGCATGGTTTTCCTCTTTTGGGGTAAAACATTGCAGACCCGGGATTTTGTTTTTTTCTCAAGTGTTATGGCTTTTGCTTAAGGGTATGAGAGAAAAACTTTGAGCATAGAGGAACATAGTACAAGTACTGTTTTCTGTAGACTGGGGGTATTTACGGGATCAGGGAAAGCAAAGACCACCTCAGCCCCCGGTCTGGAAGGGTGACTGTTGTCCTCAGGGCAGGCCTGTAGGGTCAGGGTGGGCCTGGCCACCATGGCGGATGTGTCCAGCTCTTGGGCTGCCCTTGCATCCTGGTCCATCTGAGTGTGGCTCAGCTCCCTGCGTGTGATGGCATTGGGGATTGGCTATGGTGTGGCCCCTTTCCTCCCGCGCTCAGCACATCTTTCCTGGTCTCAGGTAGATGGTTGTGTTTTTGATCTAGGTATTTCTTTCAGTTAGGGGAAAGATTCATTTCCACTGCAAAGGCTTCAGAAATGTTTCTGTAGGAGAAGAACACTTTTCTTCTATCCTTCTGGGTTCTGTGGCTGGAGCCCTGGTAATTAACCAACACAAGACAGATTAATGAGAAAAAATAAACAGACTACCACATGCAGAATGCATACACGGAAACTCTGCAGTAATGAGCTCAAAGGTGGTTAGAAAGGACATTTTATAGGATCCTAAGAAAGTGCAGTAAGTTTATAGAGGAGAGAACGACAAAGGAAAGGGAGTGTAGGCTTTTGGAGTCGCAGACTGAAGGAAAGGTAAACAAATGGGGGAAAGTGATGGAAAATCAGGGCTGTTTTCATAAGGCTTGTTAGGTGAATTCCTTGCAGTGCCATCTGTGGTGATAAAGAGTCCAATTCCTGGGCTGCAGATGTGACTCAGTGGTAGAGCACCTGCCTAGCATGTGCAAGGCCCTGAGTTCAGGTCTTACCACTACCACTGAAAAAAAAATTACATATCGTCTTCCTAGTGAAACAGTTAATTCTGTACAAACCAAGCTGATAGCCTCACAAAGTTGAAGAATGGAACTGCAGACCAAAGGGGGAAATTAGGAGAGTCTTTATTGGAGATAAGAGAAATAGCTCCTGTCTACAGGAGTGCATTCTGAATGGAAGTCCAGATTGTCTTATTTGTCCCTTTCTTATACGAATAAGCAGAATGCAGGAAAGGCTCATTTCAAAGAAGACAAGTTAAAGGAAACGAGTTATTTTGTATTTCTAATGCTTCTCAGCAGTCCGGTCTGAGGTCGGGAGGAACTGTCCACTGACTTAGCAGGTTCTGCCTAAGAACATTCCTCCTGGGAGGAAGGGTTATTTTCCCTCCTATCCAAATATTTATCTTTCTTGGCTTGGTGTGTGTGCTGTTTGCTTTTTCCCAGCCAACTCTATCTTGAGGCTACCCTGACTGCACACTTAGGCTAAATAAGTAACCCATTACACTAGCACTGAGAGGGAAATCCCTGGACAGATGGAGATTGGGTCCTAGTTTTAGGTGGGGGCCCGTGTCTTGTTTCTCAGTTGTCTTCAGCCTGAAATCCTTATGCTAAAGTGGCACGTTTTGAGGTGACAAATTCAGATCCTTGATGCTGCAAAGCCGAAATACTTCAAAAGCCAGTCCGAAGGAAGCAGGGCTGGAGAGGGAGCCTGGAGTTGGCCTTGTTTGCTTCTTGTGGCTCTGGCCATGTTTCAGGGTTGATGGGTGGGTGGGTGAGGGTGTTGTGGCACAGTGCAGATTCCTCAGGTGCCTGTGGCCGCCCGTCCTGGCCACCTCCCGTCCTCCCCCTCCCTGGATAAGGGTCGTCTCTCTCTGCCACAGGCCCTGATTGCTGAAGAGGCCAGCAGCCGGCTGGCTGAGCAGGAGGAGGAGCCCGAGAAGTTCCGAGAGGCCCTGGTGAAGTTTGCAGCCAGGTTCAACTTCCCCGAGGCGGAGAAGCTGGTCACCTACTACTCCTGCTGCTGCTGGAAGGGCCGGGTGCCACGCCAGGGCTGGCTGTACCTCAGCATCAACCACCTCTGCTTCTACTCCTTCTTCCTGGGCAAGGAGCGTGAGTGCCGCCCCGCCCCTGCAGCCCCCGGGGTCCTCAAAGATACAGGTGGCCCTTGGGGTGCTTAGTGTTGCTCCCACCTAAGGTCGTTAGCACCAAGAGCCCCCCAGCACAAGCTTAAAATAAGTGGTGGAGGTGACTGCAGTGATACTCGGTTCATTTCCAGATGACTTGTACAGATAACTATCTGTAATTATGCGTGCTCCTACCCCTAGAGGGTTTGATTTGGGGAGAGTTCCTTATCCCCATTGCCTTAAGATTTCTCTTTTGCTCACTTCAAATAGCCGTGGAGAGCCAGGCATGGTGCTACATGCCTGTAATCCCAGCACTTGGGAGGCTGAGTCAGAACGATTCACCATGAGTTTGAGGCCAGCCTGGGCTACACAGTGAGTTCAAGGCCTGCCTGAGTTACATAGCGAGACCCTGTCTCAAAAACAAAAACAGCTAAACAAACAAACAAAAAATGAATGTCTCTAGAGAGGTTCTTACTACCCTCGATCTCCTTGGAAATAGTGTCATAACTGATGGTTGATTATTTCTTTTTTCGGGGGTGGGTACTGGGGATTGAACTCAGGTCCTTGCGCTTGCAAGGCAGGCCACTGAACTGCTGAGCTAAATCCCCGGTCCTGGTTGAATATTTCTTTTTAAATTTTTGTTATTAAATTTTATTTTATATACACCCCCAGCCCCTCCCTACCCTGTGTACAAAAGCTTTGTTTATTCTGGTTGAATATTTCTTTTTAAATTTTTATTAAATTTTATTTTATATACACCCCCAGCCCCTCCCTACCCTGTGTACAAAAGCTTTGTTTCCATTTTTTTCTTTTATGTTCACTTTGGAGGCTGAATATTTCTAAGGGAGAATGTTTTCCTGCAGGGGAAGGCATTTAAAGATGCCCAGCCCCCAAGGTCACGACTGTGGGGGGCACAGTTGCTTCTAGAGAGGGAATTCTTCAGTGGTGCCCACTGGAGATTCAGGCACTGACTGATGTTGCACATATTTTTCTGGCCACATGCGCTGTCCTGGACTGTGGGATTCCAAGGTGACGAAGGAAGGCACAGTCAGTTGTATGTTGGATGCTTAGGAGCTGTTCTCCTGGGAACTGCTTCCAGCGCCCGTCGCCATTTCCCGTGCCTGTGCTGGATGGCACTCTTGCTGCACGCACGTGTGCACACATGTATCTATTTTTTTCTTTATTTGTTTCAAGTAGAGCCAGGGCTGAGCTGCTCTTGTCTGTCTGCTGTCGCTAACCTCCTGCGTGCTGTGTTCTCTCCTTCTGCCTCCGCAGCCTCTGCGCTGATGTTCTAGGACACACTCCTTGTTGCATAGCCCTCTCCCCTCTTGGGATGTGCTCTGGCCTAACCTTGGCCATCGCCGGCTTTCTCCTCTCTGAAATGCTTCTCTGAATGAACATGCCGCTTTTCCTTCTTTCCCTTTACTTAGTCTGTTTGGAAACTCCTGTTCATCCTTCAAAACCCAGTTTGGATTTTGTTGTCTCCAGGAAGCCTCTCCTAGGCCCCGTATCATTTGTGCCGTATCTGTGCTTTCTGTGCTGCGTTTGGTCCTGTGGATGGTTACTGACTTGTGGCCTGTTTTCCTGTTTGAGTGAGTGTCTTCAGTGCAGATAGCACTTCTCAATGGCAGTGTGGTGGACAGCATGTGTGTCAGGAGATGAGAACACCTATGAATAGTGGGGGAAACCAATTCTCGAGCCTGCTGTAAAATTGGGGCCATTTAAAGTTACTAAAACATTGGAAAGTATTGCAAAGTAAATGGAAAGAAATGGTAGACATACAAGTCTTTCTCTAACAATTTAAAAAGGAATTATTTTTTGATGCTTATTGATTATTGTTAAACCTGTTAGGATGACAATATTTTGGAAGAAATGAATGCCTCTTAATTTAGGATGATGTTGATCATTGTATACCAGAGCTCAGACTGTTTCCCCACTGTATCAAAAACACTTTTGAGAATAGAACACCTGTTTTATTTTCACTGTATTACTTTTTTAAAAGAGACAGGATCATACTATTTTGCCCAGGTTGGGCCTGTCCTTCTGGACTCCAGCCATTGTCCTGCCTCAGCCTCCTGGGTAGCTGGGATTACAGGTGCATGCCACTGTACCCGGCTGTACTGTATTAGTTTAGATTGGAAGAAACTGCTTGTGCTGTCTTCTTAGCCTAACACCTATCATCTGACACAGTAAATGTTTAGCCCATTTCTGAAAATGAGATCGTGAATAATCCGCACTCCTTCCTGTAGTTTGTGGCATCAAGGCTGTTTTCAAAATCAGAATTTGTGTGGATTGGGAAACTTCCACATGACTTTTAAAATATATTTGAGAAAGTTTGTGTGCTGTTGGCTTGTTATTCCAGAATCACGTTCCTTGGGAATGTGCCCCAGCTGGCTGCTGGGTTTCTCTTAAGTCGTTGAGGAAATCACTGGAACACACTTGGGGGTTCACCAGCTGCTGTCCAAGAGTTCTATGCTTTTCTCCCCACTCTGGTTTAAGAGAGATCTGCATTTCAGTTGCAGGAACGTTCTGGACTATTGCTTGCTGTTACATGAAGGTGTGACTCAAATCTTCCTGTAAGATGCATTCGCCCTTTTTCTCTTGCAGTTAAACTTGTCATCCCTTGGGTCGATATCCAGAAATTGGAAAGAACGTCCAATGTGTTCCTCACGGACACTATCCGGATCACCACACAGAATAAGGAGCGCGACTTCTCCATGTTTCTGAACCTGGATGAAGTGTTCAGGATCATGGAGCAGCTGGCGGATGTGACACTCCGGAGGCTTCTGGACAACGAGGTCTTCGACCTGGACCCAGATCTGCAGGAGCCGAGCCAGATCACCAAAAGGTGCAGCTTGAGTTCCGTGGTGTCCATCACCTGTATGGGGACCCATGCTCGGTGCTCAGCCTTCCTTTCTGGTGGCCTTCATTGTGTGGCAGCCCTCCATGCCACCAGAGCATGGGTCCCAGGACCTCTGTGGCTATCACAATCCCAGGATGCTTGAGTCGTACATAAAACGGTGTAGTATCTGCATAGAATCTATGCATGACCTCCCCTATGCTTTAAAAAAAAAAAAATCACCACTAGGTAACTTACAGTACTGTTCACAATGTAAATACCATGTAAATATTGTAGTTATAGTGCATTGTTCAGGGAATAATGACAAGAAAAGAAAGAGTACATGTTTAGTGCACATGTATTTAAAAAAATATTTCCCATTTGTATCTAAGAATACAGAACCTGTGCATACAGAGGGCCAGATATACTAGGTTTAATTTCTTTTGTGGTATAACCCAACGTTTCCTAGGTTGTTAATCTCGACAGAGGCAATAGTTAGAAATGATTGTCACTCATTTCCCATGTGCAGCAGACTTTGATTTCTAGATCCAGTTCCCCATTTTCCTTGGATATTATTTCAAAATTGAGGTTCATAAAAAGCACTTCTAGAACATGTAATATAGGCATCCTCATGTTAGAAATCTATGAAGTACTGTGTTTTATTAGTGAACATTTAAGATATACCCTCCTTTCCCTTTTAAATGGTGCTAGGGATTGAACCCATGGCCTTGTGCATGCCAGGCAAGTGCTCTGCCACTGAGGCACCCACCCCATCCTTTTCACATTAAAATACTCTGTAGAAAAAGTTTCCACACAATTAAAAAAATTTTTTTTGGTACTGGGGATCAAACTCAGGACCTTGCACTTGCGAGGCAGGCAGCGGCACCACTGAGCTAAATCCTTGGCCCGACAGCTAAATTTTTTGATGCCAGTTTGTCATCAAGTATGTACCTTACAAAGAGAGTAGTTCAATATTCTTTATTAATTTGTTTGACCCAAAGCGTTGCTGGTCATGCAGACTTGTGAAATAGTTGCTTGAATCCTCACATTAAGGGAGATTCAGTCTGTGGTGGGAAGTTCTGAACATGATGTGTGAGCTGGAGTTTGACTTTGGGGCTTGTGGAGTACAACTGGGTAACTGCAGTGCTGATGAGAAGGTACCTTCACCAAACAAGTTACCAGGAAGTGTTATCCTGGTTAGATGTTTTTGATATAGTTGGAGTCAGCTGCTACTATGTGAATAGCAAATAGTCATTATATCATTGTAATATATAGGTAACATAAATCTGACATTGTAACCATCGTTAAGTGTACAGTCACAGGGCCATGAAGTGCATTCACACGGTTGAACAACCATTCTCACTGCCTATCTCAGAACTCTTACCTTCCAGAACTGAAGCTACGCTTCCTTCCATCTGATTCCCTTCATCTTTCCCCCATCTCTGACACCCATCGTTCTACACGTACTGGGTCTCAGAGAAGTGGGGTCATACGGTATTTGTGGTCTTGTAGTTGGCTGATTTTACTGAACATCATGTTCTCACGGCTCACCCATGTTGTAGCATACACACGTCAGGTTTTTCCTCCTTTCTAAGCCAATATTCCAATGTCGGCATGCACCATGTTTTATTTATCTGCTCGTGTGCCTTTACACGCTTGAGTTGCTTCCACCTTCTCGGTATTGTGAATAATGCTGCCCTGAATGTGGGCCTCCGTGTTTATCCAAGACCCTCTCTCAGTGCTCTTGAGTATATACCCCGAAGTAGAATTGCTGGATCACATGGTAATTCTGTTCTTAGGTTGTAAGGAGCCACTAGCCATTTACTTTACGAGCCATTTACCACGAGTCATTTACTTTAAAAGTTTTTAATCTGTTTTAACGTTCTGTCTGCCTTTTTTTCCATTGAATTTCCTTAGAAAATATCCAGGAGGTGAGTAAGAGGTAGGCATTGTGCTTCTGTTGCTTGTGGAACAGCTAAGTACTGCAGTCCTTTGTGTGGCCACCAGTAGCATCTCATAATTTTCCTGAGCTTTAGTCTTCTATACATCGACTGGATAACCTACCGAGGGTTGATTGTTCCTAATATGAAATGCTTTGAAAACCAATGTTGGAGCAGTTTCAGATTTTCAGATTAGGGGAGGCTCAACTGGTGAAGTCCTTGAAAATATTCCCAAATCTGGAAAAACTCTGAAATCTGAAATACTGTTGGTCCCATGCATTTATTTATTTATTTATTTATTTTTGAGACAGGGTCGCACTATGTAGCTTGCTTATTTATTTATTTGGTAGAGAGTCTCACTATAGAGCTCAGGCTGGCCTTGAATTCCTGGCAATCCTTCTGCCTCAGCCTCCTGAATGCTGGGACTATAGACACGTGTCACCACATCCAGCTTCCAAGAATTTTGGATAAGGGATACTTAACCCATACTAAGTTCCTTCAAAGGTCTAATGTCTGGTGTTCAGTAATAATACAAAGGCTTTTTAAAAATAGACCTTTTGCTCTTCACACGTGCTGCCTTCTCTGAACATCTCGGGGAGTGTCTTCCTGAGGGGCCCATGAACATCAGGGTGTTTAGTTGCCTTGCATTTGGAAAGGACTCAGATCCCTTTGCTGTGTGCACCACCTTAGACTGATCATGCATCATCCTGAGTGAGGCAAAAATCAAAACAACAACTCTTTTGTGGTGACATTCCTACAAGTTTTATGTTTATCAACCTCTGATAATGTGTAAGTTCTCTTTTGAGACAGCCTTCTAAAAGGGAGTGCTTGGGCTAGCGCTTTGGTGTTCTGATCCCTTGCCCCGGGACCTCCAGTGTGGTCCCTGGCTCCATCTTAGGGTCCATCTGTTCTAAAAGGAAGACAAGGGCTGGGGATGCAGCTCAGTGGCACAGTGCCTGCCTGGCAAGTGGGAGGGCCTGAGTTTGATCCCTGGTACCAAAAATAAATAAAAGGAAGACATCGTAGTGTGGTGTGAGCTACACTCTCCCATATGTCCTCATATGTTACTATGATAGTTGGTACCCAAGTCCTTTTAGTCCAGTTTACAAAGACCTATTAAAGAAAAGGCCACTATTACAGAGCCCCAAAGAAGGGCGAGTCAGGTGTATGTTACTAAGTACTCATGTAAACCACCAGTTCAATGCGACCTCGGTCCTGTGCACACGATCTTTGCACCTGTATGTATTCAGAATGCAGCCAGATTGGCCTGGGCGGGGCCTGTCCTGTTTCTCGCAGGCTCAGAACTCAAGTGGTATCCTGGCACGGCTCCAATTTCAGATGTGGCCATTTTGGTTTGTGGTAGAGGGAAAGAACAGGAAGACCGAAGGTCTGTAGCATCTACTTCCCCTCTGGAAATGTGTTTTGGAAGAAAAGTCATCACACTGTCAGCCTTTGTTTACCTTCCAGAATTGAGGGGAGATATGAGGCTTCCCCTTCACACCCCCACATTCTATCCCAGGAACCACTAGAAGAGAGAAAACAACCTATAGGGCTGTTGAGGTGGCCAGTGGCCCAGCTTCCAGGGTGCGTAGAGCTGGCCCTAGACATGCAGTGGGATCTGATTGACACTGACCAGGCTCCACACTCTCTGGGACTTCCACCTGGGTGGGAGCTCGCCATAGCCTCCCATCCCCTGCTAGTTTGCATCTGTAGCCTTTGCCATGGAGACGCTGGCCTGTGGATGTAAACAGGTAATGACTCAGTCCACTTGGCATCCTGACAGAGGGGCCAGGTTTGAAAGTTTAGGAAAATGGCTCTCTGAGCTCAGGGGCAGCAGCCGGGCTGGAATGCCCCTTGGAGTCTCCGTGGTGGGTCTGCTTTCACTTCCTGTCCCAGTTAACAGCTTTCCAAAGGGAGCCCTCGGATTCATGAGCCAGTAAGGGGCATCTGATTACCACAGCGTCCTGTGGTCACTTCGTTGGGACTGATGGAGTCTGGTAGAGTGAGGCTCACACCTCCACACTCTCATCTGGCCTGATCCCCAGGTACACAGCACACCAGGATGGGCGGTTCGCAGGTGCATAGTCCCGGGGCTCGTTGGGCAGAGTGACTGGGGGAGGGAGGGGCAGCCCGGACAGAATGGCAGGGAGGAGGCAGGGATGAGCTGACTGATTTCTGAACAGAAAATACTCTCCTGAAGCTGGGCCAAGCAGGCTGAGAAGAGCGACTCCAGTACTCTGGTGGGCAGGGGTGGAGGAGATGGGCCTCACCTAATATGAAGCAAAAGGAAACTTTGAAACTTCCTTCCTTTTGTAAAGGTGAGGAGTGGCTGCCAGAGAACAGAGCCCAGTCCCTGTCACCCGGTGTCATTCTGTCTGGCTGCACAGACTCCTTTGGCCTTGCCCCACCCACATCCACCCCTTCCCTGCAGTTCCCTCTAGCACCCCCAAGGAACGCCAGCTTTCTATCCATCCCATTTGAGGCACCCTGCCCCCAGCAGCAGTCAGGCCTCTCAGGCCCCACCTCGAAGGGAAGACCCAGTCTTGCCCCCATAAGCTTCAGACACCCCCAGCACTGCTTAGAGATTGTTGACACTGTGATAGGATGGTTAGGGTGGGAAAGGCAGGAACTTTCTTGGGAGTGAAAAGTGCCATTGTTGTGTAATCAAGGTCTTGGTCTTCTGGGAATCAGTGTTGATAGACTGCCAAGGAATGGAGGGGCTGTGGGTACCTCCAAGCCTGCCTTCACATGGCCATCAGCTATCTGGGGCCCAGGTGAGCCTTATGTCCCATCCTGTCCCTTGAATACTGCTGGCTCCTGTGTTCTGTAACAGTGGCCTTGTCACGGGGCCATCCTGTCATTTCCTTAGGGCTCCTGGGTCACCGGGAAAGATGCTTTTGAGTAGGCACACATTTGATAAATGAGATGTTTATGTGCACACCAGGGTGTTGAAACACACTTCTGCCTCGTTTCCAGACTGGTAATTCTTGGTGTTTTCCAGAGTTTAAGTGCAAAGGGCACAGGGTTGGGAGTGGCCATGTAACCCAGAGTGTTTGGAAGGACCTTTCCTGTGCTCCATTAGGGGTCAGGCTGGTCACCGAGGTCCCAGTTACTTTCCCTCAGCCACAGGGGGCAGGAGCTGTTCCTGTGGACACCTGTCTGGTGCCCAAGTGGGAAATCCTGGAATGTTGACCTGGTTGGGGAAGAGGGTATGCGCGCAGTCTAGAACTCTGTGTAGCAGTCATACACGACTGCATGTGTTAATTTCAGCTTCAACAATTTTGTTGCTCCATGTTCTGGCCCAGCCCATTCCTTCCTATTAGAGGCTGGTACCATAGTGTAGGGTAGTTTGGGGGCTCCATTGGTCTCAGCCATAGCACTCTTGGAGCAGTGCCTTGGGCCTGTGCACATCAGTACCTTCTGGGCCAGGCTCCATCCTCGAGGGTGCTCCTGTAGTAGCCCTGTGTGAGACATGCCTTCTGAACGTTGGGTTGTGACCGCTGCCTACCGGTCTTATGGAGGGAAAGTGGAGACTCTAGTACTGGAAGGTTCGGGAGGTACACCTGAGCATGTGTGCTTTGTTCTTGGTGCTGCTAAAAAGGGAGTTGATAGGTTTAGCATCAGAACTATCCCCTGCTGCCTTGAAACACACTCCAGGGATGGTCTTACTCTTACTTTCCTGAAGAGCTTCTCTTCTCCCAGTATGCTCCATTTTTACCCCAGTTATGCTGGAAATTTATTTATTTGTTTGTTTTTTTCTTTTATTGAGTTTATTGGTACATTTTAGGTATACAGTACAATTACGTTCATTATTGGGATCTTTTATCTTTACATGACAGGTCTTGGTTCTCATTTTTTTTCCCCTTGTCCGTGCCCTCCCTTCACCATTTACACTTTATTTCCATTTTTTTGATTTTGTGATATTTTTTTCTTTTCCCTTATTACCTTTCCCTTACCCTTCCCACTTTCCCTACACCTTTAGCCCTTTTCTTCCTATTTCACATGGTCAATTATCTCCTTAGGATCTTATGTACTATTATAGTTTTTCACACCAGAGAAACTATTCGGTATTTACACATGTGTGACTTACTTATTTCACTTAGGAGTATATCCTCAATATGTATCCATTTTCCTATGAATGAATCTAATTTCTCATTCTTTATGGCTGAGTAGCATTCTATTTTATAGAAAAACCATATCTTCTTTATCCAGTTTCCAACCAATGGGCAAATGGGCTGTTTCCAAGTTTTAGCTATTACAATCTGTGCTGCTATAAACATGGGTGTGCATATATCACTGTGGTATGATTCTTTTGGAAAGATACCCAGCAGAGGGATGGCTGGGTCAAATGGAACCTCTAGTCCCAGCTCTTTGAGGTATCTCCATATTGATTTCTATAGTGGTTGTACCAGTCTGCACTCCCACCAACAATGGCAAAGGGTTCCTTTCTCCCCACAACCCCGCCAACATTTGTTATTGATTTATTTCTTGATAGCAGCCATTCTTTGTGGGGTGAGGTGGAATCTCAGTGCTGTTTTCATCTGCATCTCTCAAATGACCAGTGATGTGGAACATTTTTTCATATATTTACTTGCTGCTTTTACTTCTTTGCCTGAGAAATGTCTGTTCATTTCAGATGCCCATTTTTTAATTGGGTTTTTATATTTGGGGGGGCTGATGGTTTTGAGTTCTTTATATAGTCTAGATAATAGTCCTTTGTCTGAGGAGCAGCTGGTAAAAATTTTTTCCCACGTTGTAGGTTGTCTCTTAGTTCTGTTGATGGTTTCTTTTGCAGTGCAGAAGCTTTTTAATAAGATGAGATCCCAGTTGTTGATTCTTTCTGCTAGTTCCTGTGCTACTGAGGATTTGTTCATAAAGTCTTTTCCTGTGCCAATGTCTTCAAGAGTTCTGCCTAACTTATCTTCCAGCAAGTTTAGTGTTTCTGTTTTAATATTTAGATCTTTCATCCACTTGGATTTAAATTTAGTGCATGGTAAAAGATAAGGGTCGAGTTTTAATCTTGGGCAGGTTGTGATCCAGTTTTTCCAACATCATATATTAAAGCGGCTATCTTTCCTCCAGTGGGGACAGTCAGCTCCTTTGTCAAAGATGAGGTGGCTGAGTACATCTGGAGTTGTTTTTGTGTCTTCCAATCTGTTCCACTGATCCTCAGGTCTGTTTCTTTGCCAGTACCATGCTGTTTTTATCACAGTGGCTTTGTAGTATAGTTT